GAGGAAGAAAGATTTAAAACAAATAGCCAAAAAAAAAGTCTGGAATTATCTGGGCTTAATTATTCAGTTATCTCTGCTACCCTGCTTCTTCGCTGCTACCAATAATGAATAATTATTTCATGTTTAGATGCCTGCTACCCTTGTAATCCTTTCAAGTAGACATTATCCACTGTTGTTGAACTTTTAAAATTGTATTCCGGCTACCAGCTGCCATTTTTTTCTTTATCTCTGACATGTAAGCAGGACTCATAGATTCGTAGAATGTTTGAATTAGGAAGGATTTTTAGAAATACTCTATTAAGACCTCCTCATTTTATGGATGAGGAAACAGACTGAGGCAGGGGAAGCCAGTCATTCAGTCTGTAAACATTTGTTGTTGTGGTTCATTCATGTCAGATGCTTCATGACCCCATTTTCTTGGCAGAGATACTGGAGTGGTTTGCCACTTCCTTCTCCAGCTTATTTTACGGATGAGGAAACTGAGGAAAACAAGGTCAAATGACTTGCCCTGGGTCACACAGTTACTAAGTATCTGAGACCAGATTTGAATTCATGTCTTCTAGGCCTGACACTCTATCCCCTGGCGCCACCTAGCTGCCTGAAAACATTTATTAAATGACTACCATGTGCCAGGCACTGTGCTAATCAATAGGGATAAAAACGATTTTGGGTTTGGGTTTTTTTTTTTTTGGCTAGGCAGTGAGTTTAAGTGACTTGCCCAGGGTCACACAGCTAGTATAGGTCAAGTGTCTGAGGCTGGATTTGAACTCAGATCCTCCCCATTCTAGGGCCAGTGTTCTATCCACTGCACCACCTAGCTGCCCCTATTAAAGACATTTTTTAAAGGCAAAAGACAGTCTCTGCTCTCAAGGGACTCACATAAATAGAAAATAATCAACAAAGGGAAGGCACCAGCATTAAAAGGAGGATTGGAAAAACCTTCCTCTAGAAGGTGGGATTTTAACTGGGACTTGAAGGAAGCCAAGACTCAGAGGGAAGAAGAGAGATCATTTTGGTCATGAGAGGTAGCCAATGAAAATGCTCAGAGTCAGGAAATGGACTGTCTTGTTGGAGAAATGGCAAGGAGTGCAGTGTTACTGGTCCAGACTACATGGTAGGGTGTAAAGAGTAAGAATACTGGAAAGGAAAAGGTGTGTGGAAGGAGAAGAATGGTTACGAAGAGCTTGAAAATCTAGATTATTTTATACTTGATCCTGAAGGTGATTGAGTTGGGGGTGGGGGTGACATGGTAAGACCTGCACTTAGGGAGGATTGATTCCCGAAGGGGGATTGAACTGGAGTGGGGAAAGATTTGAGGCAAGGAGACCTATCCAGAGGCTATTGTGTGAAGTGATGAGGACCTGAGGGCAATGTCAGAGGAGAGGAGGGGGAGCATATGGTAGAGCTTACAGGACAAAATCAATAGGTCTTGGTAAAAGACAGCATGTGGAGTTTAGTGAGAAGGAGAGGATGACACCTCGGTTTCAAGCCTGGATGACTCAACAATAAGAGGGACGTTAGACAGAGGGGAGGGTTTGGGGGGAAGATGAGTTTTCAACATGTTGAATATCAGATGTCTACAGAACATCTAGTTCTGGATGTCCAGTAGGCAGTTGGAGGTGCTGATACTGGAGGTTAGGGATGGCTATGTAGATTTGAGAATCCTCAGCATAGAGATAATAGTTGAATCCTTGGCAGCTGATGAGATTCCCTAGTGAAATAGTATAGAGGGAAAAGAAAAGAGGACCCAGGGTCATAAAACAACTTGTGTTCACAAAATAATTTACTGGCCAAGAAAAGGCATTCAGACTAAAGGTTATCTGGCTCCTTGGCTTGAGTTTTTCATAGTAACAACGTTAATGTCTTGATCTGCTTCCAAAATCCATGTTCTCCTTTAACCGTTACAGTACTCTCTCAAGCAAGAATAAATACCGAGTCCATCAGAGTTTAGATTGAATATAATCTCCAATAATACATAGGTTAGTGTTGTTACCTTTTGGTCTCATGGAAGGAGGCACAGGATCTGAAAGATATGCCTCAACTTACATTGTTTTGAGAGTCATGGGAACTGATTTCTGCTCTCAACTTTGCCATGAATTTGGCTGTGTGGTTGTGAGCTAATCCTTTAACTTTTCTGTACCACAGCTGTGAAATAAGAGAGTTGATTGAGATGATCTCTGAGCTCCTTCTCATCTCCAGAATTATGTGACTTAGGTGGAATCCAGGGAAATTTACTACTTTAAAAAAGCATACTAAAGCCTAATTAGATATAATGCCGTTGGAGCAATAATGTGCCCATCCGGTCATTTATCACTGCTAATATTGCTTCCACCCCTACAGTTCTGGGATGTGGCCTGTTAGTCAAGAAAACCTCATTGAGGCCTAGGTCTGAGCTCCACTGTGAGTGCTGGCCCCACTTCTGTCTGAGTCTCATCCTTTGAGGAGACCCATTAACACTTCCTGGGGGAAAAAAAATCACATTCCTGACACATGAAATGATGAGAAAATGACAGGGCAGAACTTAGATCAAATCTTCAAGCTTAGTTGAAGAAAAATGTGCAGATTTGGTTTGGCAAGACCATTTCTGACTCCATGTGGAGTGGAAAACGGGCTTAGTTCACTTCATGCTGCTCAGTCTAATTTGAAGTAATTCGGGAATTCCTAGGTTCTTGGGGACAGAGAGCTTGCCTCCTTAGAGCCTTGTTTCCTGGCAGTTGAGAGTAAAGGATTAAATTGAGCTGAAACCCAACTGATTGACATTTTGACACCCAGCAAATTGTAAAAAGAAAGGGGATTTTGTTCTGTTTTTTAAATGGATAATAGTGGAAAAAACTTTCCTGAAAGTATCCAAGTTTGCAAAGAGGACTTAACATCCTCTTATTTAAAGGGGGGAGGGGGAAGACCTAAAGCCTGGAGATGTGCACTAACACTTTCACAATCTCACAGAGTTTTAACTTCAAGAAGGGTTTGAAAAGACCTGGATGGGAGCATTAAAGCTGGCTAGCTCTGCTGAATTGGCAGTGCCAGAGATCTTTCAAGGGGAAACAAAGAGCCGGGAACTTCTGAGTATCATTTTAGGAATCTCTGTGTAAAAGACAAGTAGACAAATTGATGAAATTATAGCAATGTCATTTTTTTAGATGCAAAAGGTCTTAATTCTGTACAGTATTGAGTAGTGCATGCTGCCTGAAGGCGTCCTTTCAGACAGATAGAAATGATTACTCTGCCATCATCTACCCTGAACAGCATACTTTCAGGTTGACTTCAATAAACTCCCGTCTCTGCACAAAGGGAGCTATACTCATCTTAACAACACCATTTTAAATAGGCACGGTGCTTCTTTTGAATGCTGTGGGAGATTGTAATAAATTGCAACCTGGAAGAGGTTTCAGGCTGACAAGTTGGGCAGATATTTTAAGCAATTGATTTCAGGGTGTATCAGCAGATTTTTTTTTTTACATTGCCATTTGGGTGCCTGCTGACACAGCCTGAATAAATATTACGAGTGGCCACTCTTCCTAGAGATGAACAAATCATGATGATGGATGGGCTAAAGTCTGTTTTAAGATCCAGCACCTTTCATTGATTCTTACCCATCTGATTAACCCCCAAAAGAGAGCCTCCAGATAACAGATCTTCTCTAGAGAGCAATATTGCGTATGTAGTGCCCTTCAGATCCTGCAGTTAGTTTTGAGTTTTATAAGATCAGCTGATGGTTGATTGACTAAGTCAAATGAATCATTCCTTTTTGAGTTTCTGCATCATGCCCATTGGCATTACTTTAAAATTCATGACTTTACAGGGAAGTAGATCCAGGAAATAAATCTACCAGAGGATAGGTTCGTGTTTCTGAACGCTGGCACATGCAATGTCAAATAACAGTAAGGTCTTTAAAGTGATCTTTGTTTCTGGAACAATTTTAGAGCATTCTTTTCCTCTTTGTCTAATGACTAGGTCTATGGCCAGTGTTTTTGAAGTTAATGGTTCTTGGTGTGTTTAATTTAAACTTGTTTTCTGATTCTGAAATTCCTGTGGCAACCTTATTGTTTCTGTGTTTTTTAAATCAAATAAACACCCATCAGGGACTAAACATTTGCCTAAAAATTAGATTATCTGTTTAGTCAGAAGAAAGAAGGGGAGTTATTAACTGGTTAGATTAGAGGGACAAGTGATACCTGGCATCACTTTCCTGATGTCATGGTCCTCTTCCACAATGAAGGACAAACAGCAAGATTAGAGGGGGCCCAAATCACCTGTACTTAGTATTTCTGTTTGTTTTGGGGTTTTTTTGTTTTGTTTTGGGATTGGGGGGGGTTTGCTAGGCAGTGGGGTAAGTGACTTGCCTAGGGTCACGCAGCTAGTAAGGGTTATGTGTCTGAGGCCGGATTTGAACTCAGATATTCCTGAATCCAGGGCCGGTGCTCTATCCACTACACCACCGAGCTGCCCCTGTGTTTGGTATTTCTGAAGGAAAACAAAAACCCGAATGACATGAAGCAGACCTGTCATTCAATGTGGATTTTAAGCCCAAATAATGGAATCTCAAAAACAGTGGCTTTGAATCTTTCAGGCGATTGAGAAAATGAGATTTGGTGTTGCATTAGTGTGCAAGGAATATATTTAAGGGATTGGAGGAGGTACAGCCCTTCAGTAAAATGCGCTTTCCCCGGCTGGACGCACGCACGCATTTACTTCGGAGCCCGACCGATCTCCTCCTGGGCTTGGCAAACCCAGTGGCCTCCGCTGCCCGTCTGGGGGTCCTGTGCCAGCGATGGCCCCGTGCAAGCAGGGGACAATCCAGCCACCCTAAGAGGGGCCGGGTGCCCCTGAGCAGGCTATCTGCCAACAGCTCGGCTTTGGCCTCTGAGGCCCGTCCCCCGCCCCGACTCCCTCTGCCAGGGCGGAGCCCCAGGGTGGGCCGTCCCTACTTTGTCCCCGGGCCGCCCCTGCGCACTGCGTCCCCGCCCCGGACGGACAGGCGGCCGGCCCGCCCGCGGGAGGGGGAGCTCCGGAGCTCAGCCTGGCCCCAGCCAACCTCAGGGACCCAAGCAAATCAAAGCAAAGCAAAACTGCTCGGCAGCGAGAGCCTACGCTGGGGCCCTAAGCCCTGGCCAACTTGCCGCTGCCTGCACAGCTGGCACCACTGGAACTCTGCCGCTTCTGGCTTCGGGCTAGGCTGAGCTGGACGGACACAAGGACCTACTTCTCCCTCCGCCTTGCGTGCCCCGCCGGCCGGGCTCCATTCTAGGAGCCCACCTCATGACTGAGCACGGGAGCGGGAGAAAGGAAGGCGGCCCCCCACCCCACCTGCAGTTTTGGTGTCCCCGACATGATCCCCTACTTCTCCGCCAACGCGGTCATCTCCCAGAACGCCATCAATCAGCTGTGAGTATGAGCTCCCGACTCGGGCTGGCTCTCCAACTTGTCTCTTTTCCTGTAGGCTTGCGGAACCCAGTTAGAGCCCCTGATTTGCCAGGTGGAGGAGGCTCCAGGGGCAGCGGTAGCCGCCTATATTTTAGGGGTGGGGGGCGAGAAAGAGAACAGAAAACCTTGATTTGAGCACTTTGAGATCACCAGGTGTGCCCTGAAAGATATGGAAAAGGGTGGGGTAGAGGGGGTAGTTTACAGTAGCAAAAGGGTGGTAGAGCTCGAAAAACACCTCATTTGTAAGAATCTCAAGTTAAGTCTTTGGAAGAATGAAGAAATTTTAAAACTCAGAGCTTGTTTTCTGGGATACCAGAGGCTGAAAGGATGAGAGCTTGGGCAGTGCCTATGTGTAATGGGTCCCCAATCAAATCGAATGAGATGATATTTATAAAGCACTTAGCACAGTACCAGGCACATAGTAGGCACTTAATAAATGCAAGCATTCCTTTCACCTTCCCTTCCCCCCAAATGGAGGTCTATCTGGGCGAAGGGCAGTCACCTAAACATCAGGATTTCCAGCCCGGAAAAGTGTTGTGGAAATCCTGCTGTTGACTCAAGCACTTCATTTTGTAAAGTTTGGACTCCCTGACACGGTCCTAGTGGAATCTCCAGAAGAGGGTTAGGAGTTTGGGTCTGGCGTTATTTTTGGGAACTAGACTTAAGTAGTCTGACTGAGTTTATTTGGTGTGTCACTAGTAGCATAGAATGAGCCCCTGACCATCCAGAACCAGTGATTTTCAACACAGCCTACTAGAGCCTCCTGTGGAGGCAGCAGTTTAGTCCGTGAGATGAAGAGGTTATGCCTGAACTCAGCAAAAACAAGCACATGTGAAAGCTCTTGTCATTTGAATGCTTCTCTTGACTTTGTCCTAAGCCTCCGTTGTAGCTCAACTATATCTGAGAGGTGTGTGAGATGCAAAGGAGTCATCTTGCCTGGGACAGTTCCCAAGTAGGGAAACCCTCCCTGCCCATTGTAGCTGGATCCTCAAGTAAGTGGAATGGACTGGCGGGGGTTACTGAAGCTAAGAGCAATTGAGCCTGCTTTGGGTGTTTTAGAGAGGTAAACATGGAAGCGATGCTAAAACTGCCATCGAATACTTAACTTGATTATGAAAAGCTGCTTTCTGACTGTCTGGTCAGCCCTATATCAGCTGAATTCTGATACAGCTAACCCTCACAGTTCTATATACTGTCTGTCTGTATACGTATATGCGTAGTTGTTATAAAGGAAAATATCTCTAAAATAAGTCTTAAACAATCCCTAAACCAAATTTATTTTAGCCAACACTCACCTTCCCCTCCCACCACATCTTTGACTAACTTTGGAGACAAGTAGACTCCTTTGACTAACTACTTTCTCCCCTGGAGGAAGTGCTAATAAAATAACCAAAAGGTGAACCAAGCTAGAAGAGAATGCATGGAGAATCCATGAGCTTTCAAATGGCAGAGCTGCTTGAACTTTGCCTTTTTTTTTTAAGAGGAAGTTTGAGCTTGTTTAAGAAAAGTAAGACTTTTGCATTTACACTTTCTAGCCTCCTCACACACATGCAACATGATGTCCTGAGCAGCCTACAAGGTCACTTATGCAATTTGGCAGTGATAGGAATAATCTTTAACTGCTGACCTACTACTTGCTACTAAAAACATTAGTCACTATACTAAGAAAGACTTGTCTTGTTCCTAAAATGAGTAAATTTCAAAAAATATAGAATTTCAAAAATTCTAAAACAAGTTTCAAAGGAACATACATATATGTCCCATCCTGTTTTGGTCTTTTCTCTTGGCATTTATTTTTCTTGGCTAAGACTTGGTCATTTTCATTGAAACTGTCCTCAAATTTACTACTGCTTCTCTGGAGTCAACATTTGAGTACCCACAATGGCTTGCCCAGCAACAAGAGGGATATTAAATAAGTGTTTATAAACCTCTTAAAAATCTTTTTTTGTTTTAAGCTTAAACAAATGAATAGCAAGGGTCATCTTAGTAAATCTTCCTACAGAGCCTAAGCCACTAAACCTCAATGGGAATGAAGATTCCTCTCTATGAATTGGCTGCTCATAGAGACAACAGTGAATGAGTGACTCCTATGGGTTGGTGAAAGATGTGTCCTATGATCCTTGTCTTTGGAAGATTTAGTAGCCTAAGTGACTGGCTTCTCCGTTCTAGGGAGCCTGGGTAGGAAAAGGTGGGACTTTGTCACTTGCAAGGTCATAAGACTATTAAGGGAAGTGTGAAGAGGCCATTCTCATAGGTATTCTTAGGATTTAGAGGTGAAAAGCACCCACCCCCATTTTAGGGATGAAGAAACTGGAATCAAAAGAAAGTTATAGAATCATAAGGGACCTTAGAGGACATCAGTTTCAAACCACCCTTTTTACAGGTGTAGAAACTGAGACCCGGAAGAGGATAAATGACATGTCCCGGGCCACACAGAGTCATAAGAGTAAGCCGAAGAGGGGCAGCTAGGTGGCGTGGTGGATAGAGCACCAGCCCTGGATTCAGGAGGACCTGAGTTCAAATGCGACCTCAGACACATATCACTTACTAGCTGTGTGACCCTGGGCAAGTCACTTAACCCCATTGTCTAAAACCAAAAAAAAAAAAAAGAGTAAGCTGAAGAGGGAGCTCTAGTGGGGCAGGTCTCTGAATCTAAATTCAAGGTTTCAGTGCTTGAGTTTTCCCTTTAGACTACCTTCTAAACAGAACCCTCACAGGATAAATTGTTTTTAATAGCAGAGATTTCTGGATAGCTGAAGGTTTATTGTCTTCAACATCAAAACTTTCTTTTTTAATTTAGCCATTTTGTTTAGAAACATTTTTGAAACACGTTACATGTTTCCTTATTTTTTAAACAGATGATCTCAAATTTAGTCTCTTGATTAAGGCCCAATGATTAAGAATATGATGGCCACTAGAATTCTTGAAGGGGTGTTAGATGATTCACCCTTCTACCGAATGGGTGCCGTCTACCATGACTTTTTTATTGTCTCCACCCATTTTCAATTGTCTTGCTTCTCACCTGCCATAGGCTTGTAAACTAGATAACTAAGAATGTTAGAACTGTGTGTAAAAGAAGAGTAAATGGGTTCTTGGTGGGATTCTTAAATGAGAGAGTGCCTGAGCTTTATTAATAGACATTGCTCTCTATTTCTGTTCTCTTCTTCCTCCTAATGCTACCTTGCAATTTATTTTGTATTGTTAAATACATCCTCATTTATGTGTATGTTTTCTCCTCCATTCAGATGTTAGCTCCTCAAGGACAGGGACAGTTTCTATTTTGCTTTGTATCCCCAGTGCTTAATACAATCCTCTCACAGAGTCTGAGTGTTTGTTGATTGATTCTGCTGGTCAGGGGCCTTGTTTGCTCTCTTTTTCCTTCACTTTTGTGATTAAGGTAAATGAAACATGACACAGTGAGACACTTACTGAATTTGGAGTCAGAAGACTTGGATTCAAATCTCAGCTCTGTTTTTTATTACCTGTGTGCTCTGGGATAAGGTTACTTAACCTCCCTGGTTGTGAGATCTTGCGATATCTGTGGGCCATCAGAGGCAGCTAGGTGGCTCAGTGGATAGAGTGCTGGGCCTGGAGTTAGAAAGACCTGAGTTCAAATTTGGCTTCAGAGACGCTCACTAGTTTTGTGACCCTGGGCAAGTCACTGAACCTTAATCCACTGGAGAAGGAAATGGCAAACTATTCCACTACCTTTGCCAAGAAAACCCCATGGACGGTATTGGCATGCCATGGTTCACACAGGGTGAAGAAGAGTTGGACATGACTGAGTGACAATGTGAACTGGGGGATTAGAAAGTACCTCCAAGGTACTTTCCAGCTCTGAGCCTATGAGCCGATGATTTTAAGTTGCTGAGTGGCTGAATCCTGGAGATCAGAAGCCTTTTCAGCCATTTCCTCATGAGAAAAGAGCAATTATTCTCAATTCTATTTTTTTTAATTCAAAGACCGCAAATTTCTCTGTCTCTGTGTAAAATATCAATGTTAATGGAAAGCATGGAGCTGATTTTGGTTAGACACCAATGAGGGGCATTAGAAATAAGTTAATTTGTGCTCAGACTCAAAGAAAGTGTCAACACTATTAATATAGGCTTAAATACAACAAGAAAGAAGCCCATTTGTGCTCAGATCTAATTTTAAGAATCTGGAGTCATCCTGAAGACAGAGGAAGGTGGAAAGTCCCCAAGACCTTTAACAGTATGCTAAGGCTGTATCCCATTGGCTAGGCTGTCCATACTTTTGAATATAATAAACATCTTAATTTCCTAATAAATTGAAATTGCTTTGTTATATAACAAGCAGACATCCAGTCCCCGAGAGGAGGTCACGAAGCAGGGACCTGGTTGCTCTTACTCTTCGCCAGACATGGCTTGTCTAGAAATAAGTTGCTGTTTTTTATGGTCTGGAAAGTTCAAGGATCATGAATAATTAGATAAAATGCTGGCATGAGCTATAATTGAAACAATGTTCCTATTATGAAGAACTCACAGCAGAACTCTTGGAATTTCTGCACTCTAGACATCACTTGATTTGTTAATGAGGTTCCTTTAAGCCTTTTTATCCTTGACCTGAAATATTTGTCCGTAGTTATTTGGTTTCATTTATAAATGTGTTTGATGACTTAGCAGCTGCACATCAGGAGTTTAGAAAGCCTGGAGCATCACAACAGATGGGCTTGTCAGGATGAGCCTCTAAATTGTTCCTTTTCAAGAAAGTAGAGATATGGCAACCTTTTCGTTCTCGTATTAATAATAATCAAGGTGCTTGCATTCATGGAATGCTCTTTATTTTTCAAGGTTAAATCACATTATTTCATTGAATTTTGCTCACAGAGAGATTTTGCAGATGAGGAAACAGGCTCAGAGACATTGCATGGATTGTAAGAGGTTTCAGTTTTGTGTAGCTCTGCTTGGACGTCGCTAGCTCTCAGGCCAGCTACCGGAGGT